TATATATATATATATATATATATATATATATATATATATATATATATACATACATATGATTCACTCAGGGCTCTGATGCAGACTTTTTCTCATGTCAAAATATGAGATAAACAACATAATGAAGTGACATTTGTTTTAAACAGGTCAATTTAGGTTGTTTTTCTTTGATAATAAAGGTGCTTTGTTTAAGTATTTTTGATTTGCTAAATCTTGTCATTGCATACAGAATTTTCTGACCGCATGTGTCGACATAGGGATGTTTTGTCCTTTATGATCAGAGCATCAGTATTTTAGTTAGTTTTACTTCTCATTGTAAAATGACTCTGCACTTCTATATACACTGTTGTGTAATGAACATCATACAACAATGGAATAAATGTTCTCACAATTCTGTGGTCCTCTTGTGGAGCTGAATCATTATATTCTTTTAGAGCTAATTTTCTTTTCTAGGGCTGTCTGTGTGTTACAATTTAATTGGTTTCCATAAAAATAAATGCCACTTTATTCCGAAAATCAGTTCAGCTAAAAGTTATAGTAAGATCTAGAAGTTATTTACATGTTGGGTTTATTCCAATACAATGATAGAAACTTAACCCATTTGTTGTTTTGAAACAAAGGAAAAATAGAATCCATTTAACGTTATAGTAATTTGAAACAAAAAATAATTCAGCATATTTACAAGTGTTAGATTAACACACAGCGAATAAAAAAGTCATGTATGAAAGTTGCATGAATACAATACATATTCATTTTTAATATTTAAATATTTTTGTTGAACACTTATTTTAGGAAACTTTTATTGTGTGCACTTGTTCAAATGTGTTTTTATCCCTATTAAAAGTTATTCTAGGTTGCTCTTTGCACAAAATATGCATTGTATGTATAATAAGTCAATAAAGTGTGATTTGATTTAAATTTAATAGATTTATAGTTTATATACATTTTTACATATAAGTGGGTGAGTGGTGGGTCAGAAGCGAGAGAAGGCAAGACTGTCACTGAGAGGTTGATGGCTCAAATCCCCTGACTGTTACAACAAAATTTTGGTGGGAAGCACCCTCATCCCCCCCCCCCCACACACACACACACACCACCCATCTGCTCCCCGGGCTCCTCAGATGGCGTTCCTGCTCCACACATGTGCCGCAGCAGCTCTGCGCTCTGCAGTTACATCAGGAAGGGCACCCCGCGTAAAAAACAATTGTCAAATTCTTTTACAACTTTACTCACAGGGCAACCCCTGAGAAGGGGAGCAGTTGAGAAGGGGGTGTGTGTGGAGGGGGGGCATGTTTCCATTTAAGTCAATCAAACATGTGCCTTGCTTTCTTTATTTCTGAGCGTAAAACCATCTTTCAATTAAAGGTTTATTACAACAAAACAAGGATAGACAACAATTTTAAGAAGGTTCATTATGAAACATTAAAGGTAATTATGGAACATGCACGTGGGACAACTTTACGTCTCAGGTGTCTGAGATTCAGCATAAATAACATAAATCCTATCCTAAACGCTTGATATGTTCACAATCGGAAACAATTCCATGAAATATGTATATAATAGTA